TGACAGCAGAGGGTAAGATCGTCAACATAGAGAGCTGAGAAAATTTCAGAGGGAAGGGAGGAAAGAAGACCATTGAGGGCAACCAGGAAAAAGAGTAGTGCTCAGAACGCTACCTTGGGGTACACCTTCGTATTGTTGAAAAGAGGCAGAGTGGTGCCATGCCTCATTTTAAAGGAATGACTAGAGAGGAAGCTTTGGAGGAAGACAGGGATATTACCACGAAGGACAAAAGAACCGAGTTGGGACAAAATATGGTATCTACAGGTGGTGTTATATGCCTTTTCCAGGTAAAAAAGGACGGCAACAACGGAGGTCTTCGCAGCAAAGGCAGTACGAATATAGACCTCCACGTTCACCAAGACATCAGTCGTGCTGCAACTCTTGCGAAAGCCAAATTGAGAAGGGAAGAGGTGGTGAGAGCATTTCAAGAACCACATCAGACGAACATTGACCATACGTTCAAAGAATTTGCAGATGCAACTCGATAGGGCAATGTGGCGAAAGTCCTTATGGGATGTCCCTAGAGAACCTGGTTTCCAAATAGGAAGAATAACCGCCTCAAGTCAGTGCTCAGGGACTGAAAACATCTCCCGGATATGGTTAGAAATATTCAGTAGATTTTGAAACGTGCTCGGAGGAGGATGTCGAAGCATCTCATAATGACTGTCATTTGAGCCCGCTGCCATAGAACTACAGAGGGTCAGGGCAGACTGGAGTTCCGAGAGAGAAGGGGTCATTATAGGGAAGCTGGAGATGTGTGCAAAAAATCTAAGAGACAAGATTCAAGGAGCTTACGAATAAGGAGAGATGGATGAAGATAAGAACCGGAGCTAACGGTCGAAATGTGTGAACCCAGTTTGGTCGCGACCAACTCCGGATCTATCACAACAAAACAACGGAGGTGAAGGACTGGTGAGACATCTGGAACAAACTTACCCGCTATCTTACATATTTTCTTCTAGATCAGGGGCAGAGGAGTGTCAGTTGTAATGGTGGAGACATAACATTTCCAACTCTCATGCTTAGCCATATGGATGGCCCCACCGCACTCGCCTTCCGAAACAAAACAAAACAATCAGGCATCTGTCGGCGTCAATGTTTCTTCCAGGCTGCACGCTTACAGCGCACAGCCTGAGCACAGACCGCATTCCACCATGGAACACACTTCCACGCGCCCCAGGAGGTAGAGCGAGGAACAGACCGGAGAGCAGTCTTTAATGGAAGCAGTGTTTAATGTCATGAAAAAGGAGGGCTCGAGGGAGAGGCAGATCAGAGAGGTCGGAAAGTGTAGCACGGAGGGTGAAGAGATTCCAGTCAGCCTTGGCAAACTGCCACCTAGGGAAGGAGAGGAGGAGGGTGAAAAGAGAAGAATGTGACAAGGACGGGGAAATGGTCACTGTTATGGAGGTCATAAAGAACCCGCCATGTGAAATCTAAATAAAGAGAAGACGAGCAGAGAGACAGATCAAGACAGGAGAGGGTGTGAGTGCGAGAGTCCACATGAGTGGGTTCACCAGAATTCAGAAGAGACAGAGAGGAAGAGAGGATAAATGGTTCGGCGGCCCCGGGTGTTTGTCAGAACATCTCCCCAGAGGGTGCGCCGACAGTTAAAAATCACCCTAAAGGAGCACAGGCTCTGGAAAGGAGTCCAACAGGCGTTTAAGATCAGAAAGAGAATACAGGATATTGCGGGGAAGATAAATGGAACAGACTATATACCATTTACTCAAAGATACGGGCCGCAGAGCACTGAATGTGCGACTGAACAAATAGGGGAATGAAGGGATTATCAGTACAGATCAAGACAGCAGTAGAGTTATGGGCCCCAGCAAAAGCTTGGAGGTGAAGAGAGGAAGGAATAACTAAGGAAGTGACCTGGACGAGCGCCAAGCATCGGCTCCTGGCGACACACAAAGTGGTGAGAACTGCATCATCAGAAGTTAGAGTTCAAGGAAGTTGTATAAAAACCACGCATATTCCATTGAAGAATAGACATTGTCAAAAATAAAGAGAACATTAACAGATAAAAAGGGAGAAACAAAGGCAAAGAACACAGTATACTAAGTAAGATCAGGATCAGGATTAGTGAAATCAGGGTTACAAATCATTGGTAAATGTAGAACCGATGAAGGAGTCAAGGGAGTAGTAGGATGGCCCAGAGGCGGACTGACAGAGTCTGGAGCTGGAGGACGCATCAGAGAGGGGCGGTCAAGGAAATCGGGGGGATAGAAGGACAGAAACATGGGAGAGCACTTGGTCAAGGGCAGCACCCGAGAGAGAATCAAGAACCACGGGGAACCTCCATAGCTGGGACAGACGACTCTGCGACTGAAATGGGAGGGGGGGATGCAGGGATAGAGTCGGAGGTGGATGGATGCCGTCTTACCCACCGAGGAGGAAGAAGGAGAGGAGCCTGGCTTACGTTTCTGACGTAGAGAGACAGGTGTGCCAGCTGCAACGGTACTGGGAGACAACGGTACTGGGAGACAACGGTACTGGGAGACAACGGTACTGGGAGAAAGCCTCTACACTATGAACAGGAGGAGGAGAACGGGAGCGGTCAACATGAAGATTGTTGGGGGGAAGTTGGATAATGGCCTGGATGGACAGGCGTTGTGGAGGGCCAATAGACAGAGGGAAGGGCTGAGAAGAAGAAGCGAGGCGATAAGGGGAAGAGAGCACAGGAGACAGGGAAGGAAGGAAGGAAGGAAGGAAGGAAGGAAGGAAGGAAGGAAGGAAGGAAGGAAGGAAGGAAGGAAGGAAGGAAGGATATATCAGACAAAGAACCAGGAGGTAGACCCTCTGGCTCAGACCGCAGGTGGGGAGGTGGTGGTGGTTTCTACTGATTTCCCTGATTTCTGGTGTCGGGTCCAAAGCCTGGAAATTGCGGAACTGAGAAGGAGGGAGAGGGCGAGGAGAAGTGGAACGCAACACACCAGCATAAGACATGCCAGAGAAAGAGGGAAGACGACGAACCTGGCGTCTCGCCTCGGGAAAAGATAAACAATCACGATATTTCGAATTGAGGATGACTCCCTCAAATTTGTAGTGCACATGTGCAGGAGAAGGCAGGGTGGGCGTCACCCACCCTGAAGGTGTGCACTGAGCACACCTTGCTCAGAAAGGAAGGTTATTGAGCACACAAGGTTTCGAGTGTGTACATGTCTCTCCCAGTGTGTGCATGTTTCTTAGTGTGTGCATGTCCCTCAATGAGTGCATATCACCACCAGCACCACTACCAGAGTCCCCCCCTGCAGGTGTCCTGGTCCTCCCCACTTACCAGAGTCCCCCCCCCTGCAGGTGTCCTGGTCCTCCACACTTACCAGAGTCGTCCCCCCTGCAGGTGTCCTTGTCCTCCCCACTTACCAGAGTCCCCCCCCTGCAGGTGTCCTTGTCCTCCCACTTACCAGAGTCCCCCCCCCTGCAGGTGTCCTTGTCCTCCCACTTACCAGAGTCCCCCCCCCTGCAGGTGTCCTGGTCCTCCACACTTACCAGAGTCCCCCCCCCTGCAGGTGTCCTGGTCCTCCCCACTTACCAGTCCCCCCCCCCTGCAGGTGTCCTGGTCCTCCCCACTTACCAGAGTCCCCCCCCCCTGCAGGTGTCCTTGTCCTCCCCACTTACCAGAGTCCCCCCTGCAGGTGTCCTGGTCCTCCACACTTACCAGAGTCCCCCCCCCTGCAGGTGTCCTGGTCCTCCCCACTTACCAGAGTCCCCCCCCCCCCTGCAGGTATCCTTGTCCTCCCCACTTACCAGAGTCCCCCCTGCAGGTGTCCTTGTCCTCCCCACTTACCAGAGTCCCCCCCCCTGCAGGTGTCCTGGTCCTCCCCACTTACCAGAGTCCCCCCCCCTGCAGGTGTCCTTGTCCTCCCCACTTACCAGAGTCCCCCCCCCCTGCAGGTGTCCTTGTCCTCCCCACTTACCAGAGTCCCCCCCCTGCAGGTGTCCTGGTCCTCCCCACTTACCAGAGTCCCCCCCCCTGCAGGTGTCCTTGTCCTCCCCACTTACCAGAGTCCCCCCTGCAGGTGTCCTTGTCCTCCCCACTTACCAGAGTCCCCCCCCTGCAGGTGTCCTTGTCCTCCCCACTTACCAGAGTCCCCCCCCCTGCAGGTGTCCTTGTCCTCCCACTTACCAGAGTCCCCCCTGCAGGTGTCCTTGTCCTCCACACTTACCAGAGTCCCCCCCCCTGCAGGTGTCCTTGTCCTCCCACTTACCAGAGTCCCCCCTGCAGGTGTCCTTGTCCTCCACACTTACCAGAGTCCCCCCCCCCTGCAGGTGTCCTGGTCCTCCACACTTACCAGAGTCCCCCCCTGCAGGTGTCCTTGTCCTCCACACTTACCAGAGTCCCCCCTGCAGGTGTCCTTGTCCTCCCCACTTACCAGAGTCCCCCCCTGCAGGTGTCCTGGTCCTCCACACTTACCAGAGTCCCCCCTGCAGGTGTCCTTGTCCTCCCCACTTACCAGAGTCCCCCCCCCTGCAGGTGTCCTTGTCCTCCACACTTACCAGAGTCCCCCCCCCTGCAGGTGTCCTTGTCCTCCCCACTTACCAGAGTCCCCCCTGCAGGTGTCCTTGTCCTCCCCACTTACCAGAGTCCCCCCCCCTGCAGGTGTTCTTGTCCTCCCCACTTACCAGAGTCCCCCCTGCAGGTGTCCTTGTCCTCCCCACTTACCAGAGTCCCCCCTGCAGGTGTCCTTGTCCTCCCCACTTACCAGAGTCCCCCCCCTGCAGGTGTCCTTGTCCTCCCCACTTACCAGAGTCCCCCCCCCTGCAGGTGTCCTTGTCCTCCCCACTTACCAGAGTCCCCCCCCTGCAGGTGTCCTTGTCCTCCACACTTACCAGAGTCCCCCCCCTGCAGGTGTCCTTGTCCTCCCCACTTACCAGAGTCCCCCCCCCCCTGCAGGTGTCCTTGTCCTCCCCTAGTACCAGAGTCCCCCCTGCAGGTGTCCTTGTCCTCCCCACTTACCAGAGTCCCCCCTGCAGGTGTCCTTGTCCTCCACACTTACCAGAGTCCCCCCTGCAGGTGTCCTTGCCGTTCCCACCTGCACACAGCACCATGCGACGGTCCGGATAAGGTTTCCTCAAAATCTCACAAAATGGTAAATCAACAATTGGCAGCTGGACTTGCTGCAGCGTGTTCAGTCTAACAAAAGTTAAGGAATCTGGAAAAAAAGAAGAGGTTGAGCACGCATTAGTATTTGTGTTGATATATACATATTTATATTATTACAGGAGAGGCATATATTAACCCGTCCACTGGAGGAGTCCTCCCAAGAGAGCGATCCATGCTCTAGCTGAATGTGAGAAAACCAAACAAAATACAGGGGAAACTCTTATAAAGATTGTAGTCCCAAGATATGTCCACTTTTCTGGACTTTTAGGTGTGTCTATGAGAGTCAGCTCCTACTGGTCCACGAGAGGCCGCTCCTACTGGTCCACGAGTGACAGCTCCTACTGGTCCATGAGAGACAGCTCCTGCTGGTCCAGGAGAGACAGCTCCTACTGGTCCATGAGAGACAGCTCCTGCTGGTCCAGGAGAGGCAGCTCCTACTGGTCCACGAGAGGCCGCTCCTACTGGTCCACGAGTGACAGCTCCTACTGGTCCATGAGAGACAGCTCCTGCTGGTCCAGGAGAGGCAGCTCCTACTGGTCCATGAGAGACAGCTCCTACTGGTCCATGAGAGACAGCTCCTGCTGGTCCAGGAGAGGCAGCTCCTACTGGTCCACGAGAGGCAGCTCCTACTGGTCCATGAGAGACAGCTCCTACTGGTCCATGAGAGACAGTTCCTACTGGACCATGAGAGACAGCTCCTACTGGTCCATGAGAGACAGTTCCTACTGGTCCATGAGAGACAGTTCCTACTGGTCCATGAGAGACAGTTCCTACTGGTCCATGAGAGACAGTTCCTACTGGTCCATGAGAGGCAGCTCCTACTGGACCATGAGAGACAGCTCCTAATGTATAGGAGCTGTAATGCACACACACACACACACACACACACACACACACACACACACACACACACACACACACACACACACACACACACACACACACACACACACACACACACTCAACAGTGGCAATAGTGGAAACCTAAATAAATGGCATGATCTCGGATGCAATCTTTCCAGAGGGGTACCAGGTGATAAGAAAAGAGAGGACACAGAGACAGGGAGGGGGAGTGGCACTCCTAATAAAGCGGAAATGGAAGTTTGAAGACCTGGGAAATCGAGTTACCAATGAGTGCACAAGCTTCATACATGGAACTCTGACAGCAGATGGGAGGAAGATTGTGATCTTGGTAATCTACAATCCCCCACCAAACAGTAGAAGACCCAGGCAGGAGTATGATGACAACAACAAGGCATGTATAGATGAACTGCAGAAGGCAGCAACACTAGCCCACAGAATGAGAGCGAAGCTGCTGATCATGGGGGACCTAAATCATGGAGAGATAAATTGGGAATCAAGGAATCCCCATGGAGGGGACGAAACGTGGGGAGCAAAATTAGTAGATGTTATAGACAGGAATTTCCTAACACAACATGTGAAGGAAGACACAAGGGAAAGAGGAGGGGATGCACCGAGCTTATTAGACCTGATTTTCACCCAAAACGTAGAAGACATCGAGAATATGGAACATGAAATACCTCTAGGGGCCAGTGACCATTGTGTCCTAGTCTTTGACTACATGATGGAACTCAAACTTGTGACCAAGGAACAAGATATCTGGGAAAGGAGAGTTGATTACAGGAAAGGGGACTATAAGAGGATAAGGGACTATCTGGGTGAAGTGCAGTGGGAGGAAGAAATTAGAGGAAAAGCCGTCCAAGATATGATGGACCAAGTCATACGGAAATGCCAGCAGAAATTTATACCAACAGTAAAGGAAAAAGTAAGAGGGAATATAATAACTCAGGGTTTAATAGACAGTGTCAGGAAACAAGAATAAGAAGCAGGAGGAAGTACAGAAGACAAAGAACAGAGGACAACAGAAGCAGATACAACAGAGCTAGGAACGATTACATTAACATAAGACGAACATCGGAAAGGGACTATGAGAACGATATTGCAATCAAAGCGAAAAAGCAACCCAAATTACTACACAGTCATATAAGAAGAGAAATGTCGGTGAACGACCAAGTGACAAGACTAAGGAAGACAGAGGGGGCATATACTGAAAGTGACAAGGAAATCTGCGAGGCACTGAATGCCAGTTTCCATGGAGTGTTCACTACCGAGCCTGAGCAGCTCCCATTGTTGGAAGGGGTTACCCTAGATGAAAGACTATCAGATATAGAGGTGACAGCAGAGGAGGTAATGAAACAGTTGACAACACTGGATGCAACTAAAGTGTGGATAATAAAAGAGGCAGCGCAGTCCCTCAGCGTGCCTCTGGCAAGGATCTTTAATGAATCACTTATGTCGGGAGAATTGCCTAATTGCTGGAAGAGGGCAAATGTCGTACCGATTTTCAAGAAACGTGATAGGGAGGAGGCACTTAACCTCACAGAGGCAGGCACAGATACAGTGACCTGTATCACTGACAAGCATCCCCTGTAAAATACTTGAAAGAATAATTAGGCTACGACTGGTTGCACACCTGGAAAACATTAGGTTTGTGAACAAACATCAACATAGGTTCTGGAAAGGGAAATCTTGCCTAACAAACCTTTCGGAATTCTATGATAAAATAACGAGGATAAGGCAGGACAGAGATGGTTGGGCAGACTGCATATTTCTGGTCTGCCAAAAGGCCTTTGATACAGTACAAGTTTAAATAGCAGTAGGAGACTGCTATTTAAACTTGAGAGGCAGGCGGGAATAGGCGGAAAGGTCCTAGCATGGGTGAGAACTACCTAACAGGAAGGAGCCAGAGAGTTACGGTAAGGGGCGAGAAGTCGGACTGGCGAACAGTAACGAGTGGAGTACCTCAAGGATCGGTGCTGGGACAAATTTTATTTCTTATATACGTTAATGACATGTTTACAGGAGGAGAATCCTACATGTCGATGTTTGCGGATGACGCAAAGTTGATGAGAAGAGTTGTGACAGATGAGGATTGTAGGATCCTTCAAGAGGACTTGAACAGGTTGCAGAGATGGTCAAAGAAATGGCTTCTGGAGTTCAACACGAGCAAATGTAAAGTTATGGAAATGGGATTAGGTGACAGGAGACCAAAAGGACAGTACACAATGAAGGGGAACTGCCTACCTGTGACAACTCGAGAAAGATACCTGGGAGTGGACGTAACACCTAATCTAACTCCTGAGGCACATATAAATAGGATATCGACAGCAGCGTACTCTACACTGGCAAAAGTTAGAACATCATTCAGAAATCTAAGTAAGGAGGCATTTAGGGCGCTTTACACTGCCTACGTGAGACCAGTCTTAGAGTATGCCGCCCCATCATGAAGTCCCCACCTGAAGAAACACACAAGGAAACTGGAAAAGGTTCAGAAGTTTGCAACAAGACTTGTCCCAGCATTATGAGGGATGTTGTATGAAGAGCGCCTAAAGAAACTGAGCCTTACGAAACTAGAAAAAAGAAGGCAGAGGGGGGGATATGATAGGAACGTATAAAATTCTTAGGGAGACTGACAGTGGAAATTGACGAAATGTTCACACGGAATAGTAACAGAACGAGGGGACATGGGTGGAAGCTGGAAACTCAGATGAGTCACAGAGATGTTAGGAAGTTTTCTTTTAGCGTGAGAGTAGTGGGAAAATGGAATGCACTTCAGGAACAGGTTGTGGAAGCAAATACTATTCATAATTTTAAAACCAGGTGTGATAGGGAAATGGGACAGGAGTCATTGCTGTAAACAACCGATGGCTAGAAAAACGGGGTCCAAGAGTCAATGCTCGATCCTGCAGGCACAAATAGGTGAGTACACACACACACACACACACACGCACACACACACACACACACACACACACACACACACACACACACACACACACACACACACACACACACACACACACACACACACACACACGGCCTGTGTAGTGTACACCCGTACAGGGAGCAGCAGCTACTCACCCCTGGAGATGGAGCCCCATCCGGCCGCCCAGGCCAGCTGGCCCAGGAACTCTTGCTCTGTGAAGCCCAGATCCTGTTGAGGGTTGACGGGCAGGCACACCGGCACCACGTGAACTGTAACACAGTCATAATATATCCACGTGAACTGTAACACAGTCATAATATATCAAAGTCAAATCGAGCCAAATCGTTTTGACCAGTTGTCTGGTCACTGGGCCACAATAAGAAGGCCGCGTGAAGGGTGCTGTACAAGGACCACGATCCGGGGCTCTCGGGGTATATGAGAGAAGGTAACCAGCCCTCTGGTGATGGCGGAGGTGGCTGAGGTGGTCGACCAACAGGCCACAACATCGCCTGAGGTGGTCGACCAACAGGCCACAACACCGCGTGAGGTGGTCGACCAACAGGCCACAACATCGCCTGAGGTGGTCGACCAACAGGCCACAACATCGCCAGAGGTGGTCGACCAACAGGCCACAACATCGCCAGAGGTGGTCGACCAACAAGCCACAACATCGCCTGAGGTGGTCGACCAACAGGCCACAACATCGCCAGAGGTGGTCGACCAACAGGCCACAACATCGCCTGAGGTGGTCGACCAACAGGCCACAACACCGCCTGAGGTGGTCGACCAACAGGCCACAACACCGCCTGAGGTGGTCGACCAACAGGCCACAACATCGCCTGAGGTGGTCGACCAACAGGCCACAACATCGCCTGAGGTGGTCGACCAACAGGCCACAACACCGCCTGAGGTGGTCGACCAACAGGCCACAACACCGCCTGAGGTGGTCGACCAACAGGCCACAACACCGCCTGAGGTGATCGACCAACAGGCCACAACATCGCGTGAGGACAACAGTAGTAGAGGTAATGTCTCTTGAGGTTCCCAGCACAACTTGTAGTCCATATTTTCCATACCTCTTAGGGAAGAGGATGTCGTTGTAGCTTAGGGTCATATGATCTGTATCATTAAATAAATATATTTTTTTGAATAGTCTCGCGAGTATTTTCATACTTTACATAATTAATATCTGAGACGTAGTTCTTGAGGTGTTGTTTACATCACTTGTCATCCTATGAGCATTTAATGAGCAAATATATCGCCTTGGTAATTGATGAAGCCACCAAGGTAGAGCACTTCCTCTCACACAGTAAGTGTCAGCAAAAGGTTAAGTTCTCAAAGTAAATGATGATAGTTGACGTCTCCTCCCGGCATCAACTCCTTTCTTTCATTCAATGCACCTCCTTACCCATCCCATGGGCAGTGGTGGAATGGGTTACAGAGGCACATAATGGGTTCAGGAACTGAACCCCAGAGTTCGTTTAGCTAAGTAAGTGACAATATTTTGAAGCTCGTTACACAATTGTTAATGTTATGCATACATGTACATATATATATACAATCATTTACACAAATTCATATACACATCGATAATCTTTTTATATCACAAGTGATTCAACAAGAGGCTCACAACAGTCACTATACAAGGCACTTTACATCTATGGTGAGTCACACAGTTACTAGTCTTGCTCCACACCCACCCAACTGGGCGGCAGCTTTACAGTCATGTGCTCCACACCCACCCAACTGGGCGGCAGCTTTACAGTCATGTGCTCCACACCCACCCAACTGGGCGGCAGCTTTACAGTCATGTGCTCCACACCCACCCAACTGGGCGGCAGCTTTACAGTCATGTGCTCCACACCCACCCAACTGGGCGGCAGCTTTACAGTCATGTGCAGGCTGCACCTACAGTAAGCAAATTTTGGATACTTCGCTAAGATTCCTGGCAGCACATCATTATGAATGAAGTACTTACACATTTCTTGGACACCATTGATGGTGTTATCTCTGAATTCCGCGATTTTTTCACATTCCATTATATAATGACGCAAAGTATGCGAATAGTTCTGCTGACAGAGTTTACATTTAGTCAAATCTACATCAGCAGATGTTACAAACTCCCAGAGGTACTTGTAGCCGAGCCTAAGCCTAGCAGTGGTAACATCTAGAAGTCTGCTAACATTATTGGATGACCCATAGACGTGCGGTTCTTCCTGCATAATAGAATGATGATAGATGGAGGAACTGGTGTGAATTTCACTTTGCCTCAAGTCTATGAGATTTTGTTGATGTTCCCGGAGTAAAGTGATTAAACTATAACTAACATTCTTGTTATATGATTCCGGTATTTGTATTAGAGCAGATACAATAGTATTTCTATTATAAATGCTTTTACAATCTGGTGAGAATTTTCTGACAAATGAATAAATAGGGCGTTAGACATTTGGCCTCAACGAATTGTTTATGACGAGTAAATCATCAGGACGCGTATGATCAACATGACTGAGATCAAAATACTCCACTTAGCAGGACCAAACAACTCCTGGAATGTAGTAGTTTGGGAAGGAATCATGCGCGTGCATCCTACATCCCCCCTTAGACACCCACGATAAAGTCACCATTATTCCTGCAAAGTTAAATGAGGCCTGTGTAAGTCCAGAGTCCTTATGGCACTGTGACTGTACCAGAAGCACACCCCAGGGAGCTGCTGGCCCTCAGTGGCTCCCTGGTGACCTGACGTGACGGTCAGGTTGAGTCACATTGACCAGGTGGGGGTCACGGCTACACAGCTGGTGCCTCAAACTCTCACCACACACACTGCGACACGCCCACAATGTGACAGGTATCCCCGAGCCTGTTTAACCTTACTCAAACAATAATTAGTCGCATTTAACTCTGAGTAAAAAGTTCTCAAGAATCTCCAACAGGGACACTACAAAGTTCCTTCTCCATTTTCATTAGTTATGGGAAGCTGCGGGATTTAGAGGATTAATGCCCTTAACTATGGTATAATAAAGTCATGAATTAAGTACTTACAAGGGTTGAGGATAGCAGGTCGGGCGAGCCTGAGCAGGGCGATGTCATTACAGGTGGTGCAGGGCTTCTCATAGTCAGGGTGGGAGATGACCCGCTCTACTGGGATGTCCTGGGGCGGAGGCGCACAGATGCCCAGCTCACAGTCCGGGTGTTGATGAAGCGTGTGCTCCCCCACCCTCACGCTCTCGCTGCCACCAACACCGATATCCTCGCATTATTATACCAATACTCACTTAAAATTGTATAGAAATATTTAAGTGTTTCCAGCGGTGTATTGTGCCAGACTACAATGGTGTCATGGTTATCACTGCCGACAGCGCCAGCTTACCCCATTCTAAGCTGTTATCATCATCTTATCTTGAGGTTATCTTGAGATGATTTCGGGGCTTTTTAGTGTCCCCGCGGCCCGGTCCTCGACCAGGCCTCCACCCCCAGGAAGCAGCCCGTGACAGCTGACTAACTCCCGAGTACCTATTTACTGCTAGGTAACAGGGGCATTCAGGGTGAAAGAAACTTTGCCCATTTGTTTCTGCCTCGTGCGGGAATCGAACCCGCGCCACAGAATTACGAGTCCTGCGCGCTATCCACCAGGCTACGAGGCCCCCGTATCAGTTATCAGTTATCATCAGTTATCTCCAGAAATTCCTCAGTAACACACAAACATCTGGTGTTGCTGAGAGAGCGTCCAGATAACTCACCAATATTATTTTAGCCTCTCAGACATATTACCATTTGTAGAATATTATAGAATACCTTGGAAATGGTCTTTGAGTGTACTTACCAAGCTCTTAAAGAGATAATACGGATGTTCCTGGGTTCGAGTCCCCTGGCATGGAAAACAAGTTTGGGTAACATTTCCCTTTCACCTAATGACCTGTTCACCTAGCAGTGAACAGGTAGTTAAGACAAATATTGTGGGTCACATCCTGCGTGTGGATTTGTGCTTCACCCTGACTACACTTACATGTAGCGTCTCCACTCTGCAATGGCTGACGGCTTCAATAATTGTCAGATTAAGTTTAGCAATACAAGAGCAATGTAAACAGGCCCAGGGGTGAATTTGGTCGAATTCGGGTCCCTGTTGTGGGGTAATCCTTATCGACAGGTTTCAACTGGTCTCGAATATCTTTGGTCATGGGGAGAATATATATAATATGCACGGGGCTGTAACATTTACCCAACTCCCTACCCCGATTTAATTCTCCTCGTTTTCTGTTAACACACACAGAATTTTAGGATGCCGTTTTCAATGTCAAATAGCAATACACAAGTTTTAAATATCAGGAATTTCTTTTTCAGGTTTATTAAACAATATAGATTTTATACAAAATTTTAAAATATTCTTAGTTACTTTACAATTTATTGATATATTTTAGTTTTGTTTTATTAGTTTTATAAAACTGTAATATCAATATAGCTATAGGTTAAGTACTAATTGTAATTAAGAAGCAATAAAATTATTATCTTCAAAAACTAAGACGGTTAGGTGAGGTTGTGGTTTTCTATTCAGTTTTTCAGGTAAACTCAAATATTCGCAATATATTTGACAGTACGATTTAATACTAAGTGAAAATAAGTACAATTCCTAACTGCTATGAATAGTACATAATTGCACTTATTTGTCTTCTTACATTTACCACCCTATTTTTGGAGGACGGGCTGAAATGTGTGTATGTAAAGTACACATTCGTTCTTACAGGTTGAACAATCGTGAAACAAAACAGATGATCGCTTATTCCCCGTTGGTCTGACTTTAAACTCATCCTACACCTGTTCTGGGTGGTAACTTGTTGAGTAAATCTCTGGCTGAGTATGGACTGGCGGAAAGGTATTTTATGACCCTAAAACCGAGTTTAGTCCTTACAGTAATGACAGCTTCACCATCTCACACAGTGACTCATTCACAATGGTCCTACAGGGGGGAAGAAATAGCCTAAGCTACTCTATCCCTTTGAGATGTAATTTCTTGTCTCAATCAACATACTTGAACTTGAATGGTCCTACAATGGCTGGTTCTCTCTACAATGATCACACATGATATCTACGTACATCATGCCTGTGGAAGCAAGCAGGCAGACATGCTCATGGGACTTGTGCTAATTAGTGCACGAGATGTATACAGGTTGCTGAGTGGGTCCCGGGGATGGCAGCGTATCATGTAGATGGCAGCGGATTACGTGGATGACAGCGGATTACGTAGATGGCAGCGGATTACGTAGATGGCAGCGGATTACGTAGATGGCAGCGGATTACGTGGATGGCAGCGGATTACGTGGATGGCAGCGGATTACGTGGATGGCAGCGGATTACGTAGATGGCAGCGGATTACGTGGATGGCAGCGGATTACGTGGATGGCAGCGGATTACGTAGATGGCAGCGGATTACGTAGATGGCAGCGGATTACGTAGATGGCAGCGGATTACGTAGATGGCAGCGGATTACGTAGATGGCAGCGGATTACGTAGATGGCAGCGGATTGCGTAGATGGCAGCGGATTACGTAGATGGCAGCGGATTACGTAGATGGCAGCGGATTACGTAGATGGCAGCGGATTACATAGATGGCAGTGGATTACGTAGATGGCAGTGGATTACGTGGATGGCAGCGGATTACGTAGATGGCAGCGGATTACGTGGATGGCAGCGGATTACGTGGATGGCAGTGGATTACGTGGATGGCAGTGGATTACGTAGATGGCAGTGGATTACGTGGATGGCAGCGGATCAGTGGCCCCAAAATGGGCCCTTGTGGTATTCCGCTCGCCACATTTCTCCAGTCAGATTCACTTCCGTTTTACAAGACTTTGTTTTAACCATTGTTTTAGCCATTCTAGTATTCTGCCATTTATTCCATGTACCTGTAATTTTTCCTACTAGTCTTTCATGTGGTAGTTTGTCAATAGCTTTACCAATGTCCACGTAAACGACATCTTCCAGAAGGCCTCTGTCTGAGTCGCTGGTTACCGTTTCCAGAAATGTGAGCAAGTTTGTAAGCCAGGATCTAATTTTAACAAATCTATGTTGTGTCGATTTTACAAGATTGTTCTCTGTGAGATGTTGGATGATTCCCTTCCTCAGGATTCTCTCAATGAGCATACAGTAGTGTGATGTCAAGTTGATAGTTTTATCAACTATCCGGTAGTTTTCTGCCGAGTTCTTTCTGCCTTTATTTTTTTTGAATAGAGATGATATCTGCATATTTCCAATCCCTGAGTTTAAAGATTTCTGAAAAGGATTTTCAGTGGGAGATGCAGTTCATCTGCTAGTGACTTTGTAACTTGAGATTGAATTCCATACTCCTTTGTAGATTTTGAATCCTTGAATTTGTCAATACTCTTTCTGATTGTTTCGGACGTCTTGGGAATATCCCTAAATTCCTTCTCTTCAATTGGATCAAACATTTGTGTGGGAAATGGAATACTGTCAACACTTTCTCGTGTAAATACTGATGTAAAGTATTCATTCAGTGTTGGTGGTCTTTTTTATCATTAATTATAACTTGTTGCAAATCATATTTTAAGTCCTACCAAGCCTTTTATTGAGACCTCTGGAAGAAGTATCAGTCCACAAGGAATCACATTGATTTTGAGATAAGCAGAAAAACATTAAATTCAGCAACTCAGGAATTCAATGAAAAAATATGAAAAAAGTTGCTCAAAACATTAAAAAAAGATCCAAAGATACATATTTTAAGTGATAATAATTATACTAGATTGGTAGAGAGTGCGAGAGTAGTCTCACGGAGTCCCACCTCTGGCTTATGTTGCACTACTGTATGGATGTTGCATGGTGATATGTCCTGGAACCAACCCATTGTGCTCAAGTCACATATGCACTTTACTCATTAATGCTGTAGATAGACCTAACATGTTTGGTGTCCAATGAGAGCCCTTAGCCTGAGCAATATGTTGAGACTGTACGATACAGTGTAGGTTGTTTCAGCGAAGAGAGACGCCATATTTACTCTTACTGGTATACAGAAAAACTTGACCTCGTCATCTCACGCTAGCTATTGAATGTGGTATACTACCAAAAGACCCCAAAGGGATTACCTCAGGTCAGGTCAACTGTAAGCACTGCGACTAGCCACGATGACGTAGATGTGACGTCACTACACCACGTGACCTCTAACGACCTATCGGAGGCTACAATATACCCACACCATTAAATAGTTTCCTGATTACTGGAAACCGCACACAACGTTCCAGGACAGCTAATGGTGTACGTCTCGACAACGTTCCAGCATTCGGGCCTGGACTATCATAAAGTTCAGACGTGTTGTGTAGCCAAATAGTGAAATAGTCTTATGGATATCTTCTGTCTAAGTCTAAAGATCTAAAGACAATGTCTAGTTAACTCGAATAGTTTAGAAAATAATCTGTGAAGCGGCCAGGAATCCTATGGTGCCATTTATTTCAGACAATGGTAGTGTAATGACGAAGATACAGAGGAACTCACGATAAGGTCCCCAGAAGCACCAGAATGAGTGAAGACATTCATCACGATTTATCTAAGTGATTCTTATAGTAACTGAACTGTTAAGGTAAATGGCGTTGCAGGACAGTTAAGGACAGATTGGGGCATGTTAAGCTTAAATCTGTCTGTGAGAGAAATAGAGGAATTCTACCATGACTCTGCCAGTAGTTTATGGTGAGAGCTGCGACGTGTGGACCTGTGTGAGGTATTGTCATGAGCCACGTGTCTTAAAGTAGTAGTGTCCACACACTAACATTAGTGTCACAACTCTGCTGTGCTTCCCACCATGTGTCACCACCACCACCATGTGTCACCGCCACTACCATGTGTCACCACCACCGACCATGTGTCACCACCACCGACCATGTGTCACCACCACCACCATGTGTCACCACCACCGACCATGTGTCACCACCACCGACCATGTGTCACCACCACCACCATGTGTCACCACCACCGACCATGTGTCACCACCACCACCATGTGTCACCGCCACTACCATGTGTCACCACCACCGACCATGTGTCACCGCCACCACCATGTGTCACCACCACCGACCATGTGTCACCACCACCGACCATGTGTCACTACCATGTGTCACCACCACTACCATGTGTCACCACCACCGACCATGTGTCACCACCACCGACCATGTGTCACCACCACCACCATGTGTCACCACCACCACCATGTGTCACCACCACTATCATGTGTCACCACCACCACCATGTGTCACCACCACCACCATGTGTCACCACCACCACCATGTGTCACCACCACTACCATGTGTCACCACCACACCATGTGTCACCACCACTACCATGTGTCACCACCACCACCATGTGTCACCACCACTACCATGTGTCACCACCACTACCATGTGTCACCACCACCACCATGTGTCACCACCACACCACGTGTCACCACCCCCCCATGTGTCACCACCACCGACCATGTGTCACCACCACCGACCATGTGTCACCACCGCCACCATGTGTCACCACCACCGACCATGTGTCACCACCACCACCATGTGTCACCACCACCATGCAATTAAGCTAGCCAGAGATCCCCATTACAATGATATTGCTAAGAAAAAACTGAGCTCTATGCTACTTTCAGGGGGAAACAGAAGCAAAAAATGGCATCACAGATCAATCTGCTACCTCGAAGAGCTTCACCTGCTTGAGCAAGCCCGTGAGCTCCTGCCTGTAGAGAGGTTACCTCCCTGGGAGGATGACTCATGCAAGATCATCATCAATGAAATGGCAACGCAAAAATCCAACATGATACCACAAGAAATGAGGCACAAGTATCTCGAGGAAATTTATAAAGAAGCCGGAGATGAACTAGATCAAATCTACACTGACGGGCATTCTAATCCTGTCAGTGGCAGGGCTGGTGCAGCATACATGGTAATCAAGGATAATACTTTCCAACGCAGAAATGAAGAAAAAGCACGTATTGAGAACTATGCCTCTTCAACGCAAGCAGAGCTAACTGCCATTGTTATGGCGTTAAGGTTTCTTGAACGGAACACTAATGGTGCAGTGATTTGCACCGATTCAAAAGCAGCACTGCAAAGTCTAAGTAAAAATCGGGCAGAAAATCTTGCAATAGTCGCTGAAATTAAGAGAGCTGTGAGAGTACTTACCAATCAGGGAAGAGTCATCAAGTTTCTGTGGATCCCCTCCCATGTTGGAATATGTGGGAATGAACGAGCAGATGTGCTGGCTGCTGAAGGCGCTGAAGGAGACCATATTGAATACTTCATACCCAAGACTCTACTACAAATTAGAGGTATTGTCAGGCAACATTACCGTGACAAGGTAACTGAGGAAAGGAGGATAGAAGCACAAACCAGTGAATCTGTACGATGGTACAACATGGTTGCAGCTGGCAATCCCAATCATTATGGCCGAAGAGGAGGAGGACGAGGGAGAGAATCAGTAATAGCGAGAATCCATCTTGAATACAAATATCCATGGAGATATGGAATGGAAACAACAGTTAATCAGCGAAGTTGCAGAATCTGTGGCGAGAGTGATGGACACCGCCTTGACCACTAGGCGGTGTCCATCACTACGTGAATGTGAATACCTGAGAGACATTAGGAATAACTGTAGAATAATAAACCCCACATTGTTTGAATTAGGAATACAATATTTGTCAAATTTTGATACTGTTCTTAAAAGATTTCCCCATTTTGCACCCGCAAGATAACGTAAGCTTTTAAGGGTTGATAGATGTTATCTTCTTGTTTGAGGAGCTGTTCACTTGAGACAGTTAAGCAAGTCCCAGCTGTGTCTGGGTACAAGTGACGGGATGAACAACCCAGCGGGTTTTCTTCCTATTGGGGAGTGTTGTACATGCTGGTATGGCGGTATGTCCACTCACAAGATGAGTGGCACTGCCCAATAAACTCGCCCCTCGGGGCAAAATTTAAAAATTAAAAGTCCTCCCCTGCGTGGGTCGTCAAAGACCACACATTGGTCCTAAGTGCTTTGCCATCATGTGTTGAATACCTCATGACTATGTACTGCTGCTGCTGCTGCTATGTGGTGGTGAGAGCTGTCATTCAACGCAGTAACGTCTCGGGCTTCAAAGAGGTGAGTCGCACAAATGGTCGCTCCCACAAACATACATCTATGTCCCCATGTGGGTATGTGGACATGTGGGCATGTGGTCGTGTGATGGTGCTGGGTATGTACCGCTCTGGAAGCAAGGTAGGGGTTGATCCTCCTCCCTCTTTACAAAAACCATTACGGGTCATTGACACACTCCATGTGCTGCTGAGACGCCCTACCGTGAACACAGTCCTGTCTGACGTGAAAACTAATCGCCGACATCGGAGACCTACGCCAGAAACAGAATTAGCTGAGAAAGTTTTACGTTTTTCTTACATTAAAACAAACATTTTGTTAAAAAAAAAAAAACGAGAATGAGACCCTCGCTATTAGTCAAAGCTTCTGCCCACTCCTCTCCCTTCCCTTCCCCTCTCCCCTTAACCTCCTTCACGTGCCCTACCCCTAACCACCCATCTTTAAAGCTCGGTCTCCTGTCCCCCACACAGCCATGGGTAGGGGGGCTCCCCTCTATGTCCCTCAACATATCCTTCCTACATACTGTTATTTATTAACTATATATCTACACACGATTAACTCTATGGCACATACTCATACATATTCACTTACTGCTACTACTATTGATCCCCTGAGCACCTCACCAGGTCCTATACTTACACTTGTACCCACAGCGACACACACCCGGCCACCCCCTCACGACACAAACCCCGGCCACCCCCTCACGACACACCCGGCCACCCCGTCACGACACACACCCGGCCACCCCCTCACGACACACACCCGGCCACCCCCTCACGACACACACCCGGCCACCCCCTCACGACACACACCCGGCCACCCCCTCACGACACACACCCGGCCACCCCCTCACGACACACACCCGGCCACCCCCTCACGACATACACCCGGCCACCCCCTCACGACACACACCCGGCCACCCCCTCACGACACACACCCGGCCACCCCCTCACGACACACACCCGGCCACCCCCTCACGACACACACCCGGCCACCCCCTCACGACATACACCCGGCCACCCCCTCACGACACACACCCGGCCACCCCCTCACGACATACACCCGGCCACCCCCTCACGACATACACCCGGCCACCCCCTCACGACACACACCCGGCCACCCCCTCACGACATACACCCGGCCACCCCCTCACGACACACACCCGGCCACCCCCTCACAACACACACCCGGCCACCCCCTCACGACACACACCCGGCCACCCCCTCACGACACACACCCGGCCACCCCCTCACGACACACACCCGGCCACCCCCTCACGACACACACCCGGCCACCCCCTCACGACACACACCCGGCCACCCCCTCACGACACACACCCGGCCACCCCCTCACGACACACACCCGGCCACCCCCTCACGACACACACCCGGCCACCCCCCCTCACGACATACACCCGGCCACCCCCTCACGACACACACCCGGCCACCCCCTCACGACACACACCCGGCCACCCCCTCACGACACACACCCGGCCACCCCCTCACGACACACACCCGGCCACCCCCTCACGACATACACCCGGCCACCCCCTCACGACACACACCCGGCCACCCCCTCACGACACACCCGGCCACCCCCTCACGACACACAACCACAGCTGCCACGCGCCCCCGGGGTCCCCCCCAGAACCCCCCAGGAGACGTAGACCACGCATTTACCTGCTTTAGGTGTGTGCAATTTCATACCTGTTGCAGGGCTCGCGCACGGTCTACGTCTCAATTTACGCTACTACGGTGGTGAGGGAATCTCATGTGGGTTCCCGGAATAAGACCGAGAATTCCGGCGGGAGACGTGGTTTTGCTGGTCGAGGTATGGTGGCAGAGGAAGGGTTAGCCGTCATCTTTTGGGATTTCTTTCTGCCGGAGGAGACAGTCAGGTGAGATTGCAGAGTGTGGGCCATTGCAGAGCAGGAAGTGTCAGTGGGAGGATGTGCAGTCCGTGTACTGTTGCTCCTGGGAGCAGAGGTTGCATCTCAGCGCTCACTCGGTGCACTTCCTGGTGTAGTGGGAGTACTGGCAGTACTTGAAACACTGCCGGAGCTCTGTGAAGTGTTCCCTGGTCACTTGGGTGAGTGGTATGGTGATTCATGCGCACTTTTTTTTTTTTTTTGAGATATATACAAGAGTTGTTACATTCTTGTATAGCCACTAGTACGCGTAGCGTTTCGGGCAGGTCCCTGGAATACGATCCCCTGCCGCGAAGAATCGTTTTTTCATCCAAGTACCCATTTTACTGTTGCGTTAAACAGAGGCTACAGTTAAGGATTTGCGCCCATTAAATCCTCCCCGGCCAGGATACGAACCCATGACATAGCGCTCGCGGAACGCCAGGCGAGTGTCTTACCACTTAACTCCGTAGTTCGTGGTGTGGGTCGCTGTGATGGCCGTGGTGCAGGTCATCCTCAGTGTTGGTCTGCGGGTTAACTTCGGCGTTGGAGATGGTCTTGGCCAGCTCCAAGTCAGGCCAAATCACCCGTTAAGTGCAGGGAGAGTGTGTTACCACTGCGCCATGAGAACTGCACAAACTTTTTATACTATCTTTATACTTTATGAGACTTTATACTCAAAAACCTTTGGTTAGTGATGTTCGTCAGGTGATGTCTTTTATGCTTCTAGATTATATGTTGTGAAATTTCAGGGTCAGTCAGCTGTGTTGGTCTTAGTTCCCCTGTGTTCAGTGACTGATCTTTAATCAGTGTTCATATGGTCAAGAATCACTGAGAGAAGTCACTCTTATGAGAAAAAGGAGGAGAGAGGAAGCAGTGTAACATGTGTACCTGTCAACCAGATGGCCAGACTACTCACATGGTGACGAGTGAGGGGTTGTAGCAGTGTGCAGCCGTCAGGACGTAGCGCTCCGATATCAACACTCCTCCACACGTCCACTGCGACACTCCATTCACTGCGGACGTTCTACATCTTACATGAATAGTCATGGGAACGGTTGCTCACTTTTACCCCCCCTCATCCCTACTTATTTTTCGTTGTCAATGTCACACAACAAATAATAATAAGAACAATAACAACACAGAGAGAGTAATCACACTAATGTGAGAGTGACGGTCAATCAAGTAAGATCAAGCCCAAGTGCAGTGAAAAGCTCTGTACCCCAGGGTACAGTCCTTGCGCCACTGCTCTGTACCCCAGGGTACAGTCTACTGTACCCTGGGGTACAGTAGACCCCACTGCTGTGTACCCCACTGCTGTGTGCCCCAGGGCACAATTCTTGCCCCACTGCTGTGCCCCCCAGGATACAGTCCTTGCCCCACTGCTCTGTGCCCCAGGGCTCAGTCTTTGCACTACTGCTCTGTACCCCAGGATACAGTCCTTGCCCCACTGCTGTGTACCCCAGGGCACAGTTCTTGCACCCCTGCTCTATACCCCAGGGTACATTCCTTGCAACACTGCTCTGTGCCCCCCAGGATACAGTCCTTGCACCACTGCTATTTCTCATTCTTATCTCGAATATAGACAAAAATACTAGTCACAGCTTCGTGTCATCCTTTGCAGATGATACAAAAATCAGCATGAAAATTGCCACTATAGAAGACACTGAAAAACTACAATCAGATATAAATAAAGTCTTCGATTGGGCAACTGAAAATAACATGATGTTTAATGGTGATAAGTTCCAGGTACTGAGGTTTGATGAAAACGAGGAACATAAGCGAATCACAGGGTACAGGACGCAATCAAGCCTACTCATAGAAGGAAAGCAACAGGTAAAGAACCTGGGAATTATAATGTCTAACGACCTGACATTTAGTGAACATAACCGAGCAAATATAGCGGCGGCCAGGAAAATGGTATGATGGATTATGAGAACGTTCACATTCAGAGACCCCACAGCCATGCTAATACTATTTAAATCCCTGGTGCTGTCCCGTCTTGAGTACTGCTCGGTACTCACTTCCCCTTTAAGAGTGGGAGAGATCTCTGAATTAGAGGGAATACAGAGAACATACACGGCACGCATAGACACGATAAAACATCTAAATTATTGGGACCGTCTCAAAGCTCTTAAAATATACTTTTTGGAAAGGAGACGAGAAATGTATCAAATAATATATACATGGTGGATACCTGAAGGTCAGGTCCAAAATTTGCACAGTAGAATAACAACATACTGGAGCGAAAGATACGGAAGGAAATGGAGAATAGAACCAGTGAAGAGCAGAGTTGCCATAGGCACAGAGTATATCAGACAGGGGTCTGATATTCAGAACCCTCTGAATATCAGAGGTCCACAGCTGTTCAACGCCCTTCCGGCAAGCATTAGAAATATTGCTGGAACGAAGGTGGATGTATTCAAGAGGCACTTGGATAGGTTCTTGTAAGATGTGCCGAACCAACCAGGCTGTAGTGGATTTGTGGGCCTGTGAGCTGCTCCAAGCAACAACCTGTTGGACCAAGTTAACACAAGTCGAGCCTGGCCTCAGGCCGGGCTCGGGGAGTAGAAGAACTCCCGAAACCTCTCCAGGTATGCTCCAGGTAAGTGAAGAAAAATGTAAAGAAAACAGAGAAGATTCGTGCTAGAATCACTGGTCTCACCCTTCGGTCCCCTTCAATAATATATGCCTACAGAAAGACTACTAAACTATGTTGACCAGACCACACACTAGAAGGTGAAGGGACGACGACGTCAAGTCGATTGATTCCCACAGGGTATCAGTACATGGACTACTAAACTAGAAGACAAGTGACGAGGCGGGTACTGACTGGTGCCGCGCAGTAGGACCATCCAGGGCCAGGCCATGAGCTTGGCGTCCTCGCCGTCAATGATACGGTCAGTGAGGGAGGAGATGCCGCAGCGCGCCGGGAGCAGGGAGCGGCCAGGCGACAACACTCTAGCAGGTGAAGCAGAGTCGGGGCAGCACACCAGAGGAAAATTGTTTTCATAGCCGCATACAGACCTGTTGGTAATGAAACTATTTGATCTGCGATATATGTTATTTGATTCTAGTAATTTATATGTAAAATGTTTACATAAATACACATTACCATACACACACACACGCTAAAGAGCATGGAAGAAATATAGAGTGCATAAACCACAATGTATTTTGTTTATCAGAAAAAGAGAAATACCTCCGAAGAAACATAACCCCAACTTTAATTCCGACGACATTATCAAAATAACATAGGCA